AAGTGAATGATGGCAGAAATGGTATTGTAACCTTCTACAATGCACCCACTGAAGTAAGAAAGAATAAACAGACACCAGGAATTGGAAAGAGAATTCAGAGAAGCCCTTATGTACGGGGCCATTTGGAATCTATATTTAAGATATTTATAACATTTAAATATGTATTTGCCTTTGCAAGTCTCTTGACTATTTATCCCATCAAGAGGCTCGTAAAGGCAAATAAAGCAAGCTAGAAATTAACTAAAAATAAGGATTGCTATTTGTAATATTTTATTCACTAATTTATAATATATGTGGATAGACTTCATACATCTTGCATGCAGTGATTAATCAAATTTAACGTCGAGACTGCAGGAGTACATAAATACTGACTGATATTTATTTATGTAATGACATTGGCAATATATTTAGTGCAATTTAGGTTATTGCACAGAAATCGTTGGGAGTACTGTGCTGTGTTTATTGTGAGAATGTATGGTGATTCCTCTAATGGTGTGTGTTTTGTGACCTGTCTGTGCTGGATTGGAAGGATAGACTCATTGAGTAAGATGCATCTAAATTATTATTCGGAGGAAATGGGCTGAGGTTCTCAGATGAGACCCCACCGATGTTACTTGTGTCTCATGGTCAGTAAAGAGATTTGCTATCAAATTCACTTGTAGCATTACATTATGTGTTTGAAAATATGGTGATCAGAGACTCCATGGTTTTCCAAATTAAATATTCAAGAAAATGCAACAGATTTTTCTGAGCTGTCAATCTTCCAGTTGGTTCCCTGGGTAGCATCCCGATTCCCTATGAAATACCCTTCACGTCACGAAGACCACAACCAGATTATAATATCATTCACGTCAGTACATGGAGCATAATAACCTCAGTGTCCAAAAGGATCCAATGTCGATTGTAGTTCAGTACTTTGGTCATCGAAATCAGTGTTGCAAGCATAAACTAAACCAGGTTGCATTGAATCTAGTGCCCTGGTGTATTTTTGTGTTTACATCCATCCATCTCGGCAGTTGGAACCAGAATAGGGACCATAATACCACCATCCTGTGGAATCCAAAATCCTGTAGAACCCTGTTGAGATGGTTGATGTTGTTTTCCTGACTGTCTCTGCCACCCGTATGCTAAGTGGAGTTCAGTTCCTGTATGCAGGGTGTTGACTGTTATGCTGCCAAATTATTTTTTCCCTAAAGGTAGTGGGAAGCAAACCTACTTGCTCCTCTTCTTCATCCTGTCAATACCACTAAATAAATTTGAAGTGCAGGGCGCAATCAGCAGTTATTCTTCCTGTGCTAATGTTGCTTAGTCCAGCACTGGCAATGCTACGAATAGCTCTGGAGTCCATTCTTCTATTCTACAAATTCCAGTTTCCTTGATCCTGTTTCATTGTTAGTTATTTCTGCTTGTGTGAGATGTTGGCATTTCTGCCTGCTAACATTCAGGAGGTGAGAAAGCATAAAACTGCCAATAATTTGACGTCAAATAGGCTAACCCTGCAGAAAGGCACAAGGATGGTTGTTGGTACACAACATTGAAAATGTCAAATTAGCTGGTGCTCTTCTAAGGTTAGGATGAAGGTACAATGTGTCGGCCGTGTTGGAGGAGCGTTTCGTGAAACTGAGCTGTGTGTGATTAATCATGATGCTGGTGTGTGGAAAAAAAAGACACTACAGACCATTCTTTAGTATTGGAATCTCTCCGTTCAAAAACGAGAGCAAATTCAACAGAAAAAAAGTAAAAGGAAGGAAAAAACAAGTAATCACAGTGAGAAAGCATTGCGTGAAGGAAAAGGAGCATTTCATTAAGATGTGTTCGTCACCAGCATATTCACCATGTTGTGCTTGTGTGAAGGATAACCAACAAAGTTATACAGTGGCAACCAGCAAAGAGCCTGTTGATTACATATGAGAAGACCTTATAGGTTAAGATTGAAAAAGTCATGAATGCTGATGAGCAAACTGAATCTGTTTTAAATTAAATCAAAAAATCTTATAACACTGCTCAATGTGGTTTGTGAAGCTTCGTTTCATCTCCTTCCAGATGTGATTGGCCCCATCTCAAAAGCCTGTCGGTACTATATTCAGTAATACAGATACTGGACCATCTGAGCCCCAGATGGTATTTTTTTCATCAATTAACCAAAATACAAATCAAGAACACTAATATTTAATTAGTTGCTGGTCACTATATGGAAAAAGACGTGCTCTTAATATCTCAATGCCTTACAGCAAGCTGTAGTGTGGTATTGTTTTTAATATTAGAGTATAACAAAAACTTGCACTTATATAGCACTTTGTTGTGCGAGGAAAGAAAGGGCTAAAGGACATCACAGAAGTTGGATGGGGCAAAGCCATGAAATCGTGTGAAGGTGAGACTGACAATATTAAAGTCAATCCAATGCAGGATTGGGAGTCAGTGGAGTTGGGCGAGGATAGGGTTGATGGCTTGATGTGAGAGAGAATGCAGACAGGGTCATTCTGATTGATTGGAGTTTGTGGTGATTAGAGCAGATTTGCTGTTAGTAATTGGGGATTGAGGGGTTCTTACAGTTGTGATGTACTATGTGATAAATTTTGTGTTACAGTGGAGTCTGATATTATCTTTTACTCTATTGGATTTTGTGTAATTTTTTACATGTTGATATGAAGCCTAAGGAGAACAATCCGTCTTTTCCACTTCACGAAGGCGGTATTTGAGGTTGAGAGGCAATTTTAACTGGGGTTAGTTCTTTAAATATCTGTCGCCCTTTCCTCCTCGGTGCTCACTTGTAAATTCACCAGAAGTAAATTGGGGATTAAATTTGAAAACTGAGATTAGGAGATATGCTGAATGAAATGGAATTAAGGTCTGTGATGTTTGGAATTATATCATCACAAAAAGGACAGATCACACCATTTAGTTTGCTCAGTAATTGATGTGAACGCCATAATCACGCATGTTCCAAAAGGCTCTGCGTTGTAAGGTCCAAAACCATTTTTGACAGGATTTAGGGACTGAGCAAAGTTGCAACAGGCATAAGAATAATAGAAGTTCCCCTTCGTGACTGAGAATTCTAATTTTATACTCGTTTTTTTTCTTGTACATTTGCAGGCACAAGTTTACTCGGCACTAATTATCTAAAACACTGTATGCAATTAACAGATTTAATTAAACTAAATAGAGAGAGACCTTGGGAACAGATTTTGTTGAAGATCAACAGTGTTCCTCAATGGTTGTCTGTCTAAGACACAAACTACATTCGTGGAAAGAAGCTGAATGTGTTGTGACTGATTGAGCTTGCTCCAACTCTAGTGGTGTAGCAATGACAAACAGCCACAAGGGGGCAGGAGAAGCCACAATATTTGTCACATTCTTTTAGAAGTCTCACAATTTATACGAAAGCAAGTGATTTTACTAGTTCAAAGTTGACCAATTGCCAACTTATTGAACTTAAATTATTACTGATAATTTAATAATAATAGTAATAATAATCTTTGCATTTGCAGTTTTCAAGTGAGGACGACATTCACAAGATTGTGAGGTGTTGTGATTGTGCAAATTGGCAATAATCAACTAAAATATAAACTATACAAAATATAAACTAGCTGCCCTCAAAGACACAACTATAACAAAGTAATAATAATTCTTGTATTTGATATAGCACCGCAACACAATTTTAAAACTCAAGGTGCCTCACGGGAATTACAGTGATGTTTAGTGACTTTCAGGCGAACTCAACAACAACAAGTTAAATTTGTATACAACAACAACAACAACAAGATTCCATTTATAGAGCGACTTTCACGTCGAGAGGACGTCCCAAGGCGCTGTACAGTTGGGTCAGGACCTGAGCAGGGGGGAAATGGTCAGGGTGAGGGGAGGGAAGGGAGGGAGCGAGGAGGGGGTAGAGAGTCAAGAGAGGAGCTGAAGGCACGGTCAAAGAGAAAGGTCTTGAGACCGGCCTTGAAGGAGGAAAGGGAGGAGGCAAGGCGAAGGCACTGGGGGATAGAGTTCCAGAGCCTAGGGGCTGAGAGGCTGAAGGCCCGGCCACCGATGGTAGGGCAGTTGATGTGGAACAGACCGGAGCCAGAGGAATGGAGGGTACGGGCAGGTAGGTAGGGGGATAGTAGGTCAGAGAGGTAGGAGGGAGCGAGGCCGTGAATGGCCTTGTAGGTGAGGATGAGGATCTTGAATTTGATCCTCTGGGGGATGGGGAGCCAGTGGAGGCGAGCGAGGGTGGGAGTGATGTGGTCCCGAAGCCTGGTGTGGGACAGTATACGAGCTGCAGAGTTCTGAATGACCTGCAGCTTGTGGAGGGAGGTGCCGGGAAGGCCGGCGAGGAGAGAGTTCCCATCGTCCAGCCTTGAGGTGATAAAGGCGTGGACCAGAGTTTCAGCAGCGTGAGGGGTGAGGTAGTGCCGTAGTCTGGCGATATTCCGGAGGTGATGGAAGGTGGTGCCAGTTGTGGCGCGGATATGAGGGAGAAAGGACAGCTCAGGGTCGAACAGAACACCAAGGTTCCTGACTGGCTTTGAGAGGTGGAGAGTGCAGCCTTGGATGCTGATGTTGTCAGCGCCAGAGGTGCGGAGGCACTGACGCGAGCCTTTCACGTTTGGAGGACGTCCCAAGGCGCTCGATAATCAGTGTTTCAGGGCTGAGTTGGGACTGGGGACTTGGTCAAATTAAAACTTGTCACACATCTTGCTAAATATGGGAAATGCCATTATATAAACATATTAATAATCTTTGCATTTGATAAAGAACCTTTTATGTCGGGAGGATGTGTCAAAACTCTTCACAAAATTTGCTGTAAAGTGCAGTAACTATGTTTTGTTTTAGATAAACAAGTGACTGGAAGGTTGATATCACTGTGAAGGAGATTGCAAATGTGAATATAATGCTGACACCATTGTGCTTTGGGGTTATTGCTCCGACTGGTATTTTAGAAGACTGTAAATGGTTTGTGATGCTGCGCACACTTGGAAAATTATCACTGATCTATTTCAATCTTCTTTTAGGCTCAAATTCCACTTCAAGCATACCTTCCACCACGGCTCCAACAGAAACGACTGCATCCACTGGCATAAGTATGTGCACAAAAACACTTTGCATTCTGTACACAGTTTCTCATTCACAGTTATGGCTCTGTTTTACCAGTGCCAATACCAAATAACTTGCAGAATTGAAAAGCATCATGCTGCTAAGTGAAGGGAGATCGTTAATGAACACTTGTAAGGTGCAAGGCTGGATTTAAATAAAGATTTAAGTCTGCATTGTCAATGATCTTACAGTAGGAATATTCCACCTCAGAAGGTTCTCTTTCAGTAGTAGCCAGTTAAGATTCATTAACCCATCTGAAGGTTAGAGAACCTATTGCTTGATTCTTTAAGGTATTAAACTTCGATTGCGCTGTTACTGTTCAATGTCAATTCAAAGAGCAACACAGTCCTTGTGATGCAGAAATGTTTCTTTACCAGTAGCTGGAGCTTTGTTTGTGCAACTGAATTAATATTTCAGTTATTAAAGGGTAGAAAGGATAGTTGAGGGTCAAACAAGACTCCAAGGTTCCGGACTGGCTTAGTAAGGTGAAGTGTGCATCCATGGATGGTGATGCTGTCAGCACCTGAGGTGTCGAGGTACTGACGGCAGCCAATCAGGAGAGCCTCGGTCTTGTTGACGGTCAACTGAAGAAAGTTAGCTCTCATCCAGGACTTGATGTCTGATAGACATTCTGTCAGGACAGCAGTGGTCCTGGAGTCAAGGGTGGAGGCAGAGAGGTACAGTTGGGTGTAATTCCGCATACATGTGGAAGTTGACCCCATGTCTGTGGATGATGTCACCAAGAGGGAGCATATAGATGTTGAAGAGGAGGGGACCAAGGACAGAACCCTGAGAAATGCCGCATGAGACGGTGCAGGGCCTAGAGGAGAAACCGTTTGTGAAGATGAAGTGGAGGCGGTGTGAGAGGTACAATCTGAACCAGTCAAGGACAGAGCCGTGAAGGTTGAGGTGAGAGGAGAGGCAATGGATGAGGATAGAGTGGTTGACAGTGTCGAAGGCTGCAGAGAGGTCAAGGAGGCTGAGGAGGCAGAGGGAGCCCTGGTCGTAGATGGACAGAATGTCATTTGTCACTTTGACCAGGGCTGTTTCTGTGCTGTGGGTGGCATGGAAACCCGATTGGAAGGGTTTGTGAAGGGAGTGGCATGAGAGGACGGAACAAAGCTGGGAAGCAACAACTTGTTCCAGGACCTTGGCAAGGAAAGGGAGGTTGGAGATGGGGTGGTAGTTTGAGAGTAGTGATGGGTCCAAAGAGGGTTTTTTAAGGATAGGAGTGATGATGGCCATTTTTAATGGGGTGGGGGGGAACAGTACCAGTGGACAGGGAGAGGTTTATAATGTGTGTGAGTAGAGGGGCAGGAGGTGGAGCTGCAAGGGAGGGAAGGAGAGGGGTAGGGATGGGGTCAAAGCAGTCGGTGGTCGGTTTCATGCGTGTTCTAGTGGTGATGAGAGAGGAGTGGGAGACAGGTTTGAATGTGTGGAGGGAGGGATGATTAGGGACCGGGGTGGGAGAGGGAGATGGGGAGGGTGTAGTAGATGGAATGGCAGAGGCAGCTGAGCGGATCCCCTCGACTTTGAATTCGAGGAAGTCCAGCATCGCCTCGCAGTTGGCATTAGAGTTGAGGATGGGCGAGGCGTGAGAGGGTGGGAGGAGGAGCCGGTTGGTGATGGAGGAGAGGAGTCTGGCGTTGTCCTTGGGCTCCAAGATTGTAGAACGACGATTTATCAGAGGCAAGAATGGAGCGGTAGGATTTGATAAGTTCAAGCCAAATCATCTGATGGACCTTTGAGTTTGATTTAGGAAAGGTGCGCTCAGCGGTACACAACTGTTCTTTAAGGGAGCGGGGGTGGCTGGTGTACCATGGTGACTTACTTGAATAGGAGACGGTTTAGGAAGAGAGTGGAGCAAGGGAATTGATAGTGGAGGAGTTGTGAAGAAGATTGACTGAGGAGGATAAGTCATTGCAGGAGGAAGCCCAGAGGGAAAGCAGTTCAGATGACTCCAAGGCAGCCGCAAGGGAGCGGGAGGCAGATTTTTTTCCAGGGTTAGTAGGAGATGGAGGTGGGTTGGGTGGTGGTGGGGAGAGGGATTGAGGAGTTAAGGGAGATGAAGTGATAGCCCAAGATCGCTTGTTGATGAAGGTGAGATCCGAGACGGTGAGGCCCCGAGTGATCACCAGGACAAGGGGATGACCGCGGATGTGGGTGGTGGAGTGGATGTCAAGGGAGAGGTTGAGGGAGGAGATAAGGAAGGAGAAGTCAGCAGAGGTAGAGCAGGAGGGGGTGAAGGGAAGGTTGAAATCGCCTAGGATGAGGAGGCATTCAGAGCAGGGGGAGAGGGAAGATAGGAGGGTTGAGATGTTGAAGATAAAGGTGGGAGAGAGCTTGGGGAGGTGATAGATAAGGAGAATTTTGAGGGAAAGGTTGGAGGGGTATAAAGGATAAGGTGCTCAAAGGAGGAGAAGGTTCCAGAGGAGTAAGGGGATAGGCCAAGTGGGGACTGGGAGGTGAGAGCCATCCCGCCATCACGGCAATTAGGTTGAGGGGTATGATGGAAGATGTAGCCGGGTGCTGTTGCCTGTATCAGGGGGAAGGTGTCACCTGGAGTGATACAGGTTTCAGTGAGGACGAGAATGTCAATGTTTTCGTCGACAACGAGGTCTTGGATGGTAACCAAGGGTCTGATGGACTTACCATCTGAATTTCCCCTTGTTCAACTGGACTGAATCCAGCCTCTCTGTCTCTGCAGAATCCACAAACTCTGCTCTCATTATCATAGATGCTACTGTCTGTGCCCCTAGTTCCTTCAAACAAAACTTTAGCTTTTAAACCTGCCATATGGACATGTTGGGCAAAATTCACAGCCAAGATTTTATTTTTGAACTATAAAAAGAAATTTAAATGATAAATTTCTGCTGCAATAGGAGCACTTTAAAATTCCAATCATTTGATAAAGCATGTATTAAAATCAACAACAGAACTGCACAACAGAAGTGTTCAGGCAAATGGACCACGATTCCAAGGGAAGGATATTTTGAAATCATATTTCTTCTGCTGCGAATGTCCAAGACATTGTTTCTATACGAAGTTCACTGGTTTCATGATGAAATCATCATTGAGGTTTGTATTGTATAAAGTGCATATTATCTTGCACTCACTGTTTTCCTTTTCCAACAGGTATCACTCACAATTCACCACTCACAAACTCCAACACGGCTTCAAAATCAGTGATTCCTTCTAGCCATTCAAACTCAAGTATGTCCACAGGCACTGCACTTGCTCATTTGAATGTTGAGATGGCCTTATTAGTATCAGCAGCACCCACGGGCACTTACAGCACAGCTTTCTTCACTTGTCTTTCAAGATCTTATCTGTGGGAATTTTGCCATAAAGTCTCAGTATGTGTAAGCAGCCATGTGTAATAGATATTAAGGTGTCACCTTTTTGTTAAGTTATAAAAACTTATGTGAATAATTATTTAAGAGCTGGGCATGTTTCAAGTGTAACTATATCTGCTACAAAGCATTTTAATTTGCCATTCAAAAGATTTATGTGTTTTGATGCACTTCAGAATTGCATTCACCTCTTTATTTTGATCTTGATTTTTCTCCGTATAAACGAAATGCACCAATCACAGTCTCAAGCACAGCTCCACCAACAGCAATTTCTACAACCAATAAAATGACACAGACTACAGGTATGTTCACCGACTTTGACTTTGGTTTTACAGCTGTAATCTCCCAATGTTCTGCGGGTTACCAGATCTAATAACAATGAATATAAGCAAAGAATGTGGATGGTTGTAGCATGGTGCTGTAGCTAAGCTCTCCATCCAATGGTAACTGTAAAGAGATTGTTGACCAGAGTCAATTGAATTCTTCGGTGAACTAAGATAATGGTATTGTTGCATTTTTATAATATTTTGGTTTCTAAAGTCTGTATAATGGGGGAGAAAATGAAGATGGAGGGAGGAAAAGAAGATATTGAGGGATTTTGACACAATGGAAATCTTGAGAATGAAAGAAATAGTGTGTGAACCTTGAATTTCAAATTGTAAGAAAACACGGAGAAGGATATTAGGGCAGAATAAATGAAACATTAAGTGAACAATAACCATAACGGTTTCAATAAAACAGAAAAGATACGAGCATTTGACAGATGAACATATTGAAATGTTTATGGCTTGAACATAGATTGATCATTGGAACTATACTTTACTCCTTTACTTTAATATTTTTGCTGAGAAAACAAACATGCAAATCACATTACATCAGCATGGCTTCACCAGTTATGACTCCTGCAAACATTCAAGCTACACCAAATTTAAGTATATTTTACTGGGAAAAGCTCCAAACTTGAACCTGGAACCAAATAGAAAAACAACATCTTCCAATGTTGTAAATCTACTCCTACCAAATTCAGCAACAGTAAACTATCACAGACAGAGATTGGGGTTGTTGAAGTTCTGTGATATACCTAAATGTATATTAAACTATAAAGAGATTAGAGTCAATGGAATTCTTCGGTCATATAAGATATTGATATTGTTGCAGCTTCATGATATTTGGGTTTCTAAAGTCTATAGAATTGGGGAGGAAAGGAAGATAGAGGGAGGAAGGGAAGACTGAGGATGGAAAGGAAAATAGAGAGATGCAGGGAGTTCGACAGATTGGAGAACTTGGGAAGAAAAACAATGATGTGCGAGTCCTCGATTTCAAATTCTGAAAATACAGGGAGAAGATTAGGATAGAAATAAATGAAAGTTTAGAAGAATGAAGCTGACGAAATGTTTAAGGTTGAACATAAGCCTCATTGATTATTGTAACTACGCTTCATTGTTTTTCTTTAACCTTTCTACAGACATAACAAGCACACAAACCACAGACACCAGCACGGCTTCACCAGTAATGACTTCTGCAAACACTCAAGCTACATCAGATTTAAGTATGTTTTACTGAGAGAAGCTCCCAGCTTGGACATGGCACCAAATATAAAGTGAAAAACATCTCCGATTGTTGTAATTCTGCTCCTACCAGGTTCAACAACAGTGAACTACTACAGGCAGAGATTGGGGATGCTTATAGTATCGTACTATAACTACCTATTTCATCTAATTGTAAATGGTGACCAGAGTCAAGAGAAATCCTTGTTTGACAAAGACAATGATGTTGTTGTATTTTCAGCATATTTGGGCTTAAAAAGCCTGTTGAATGGGGAAGAAAATGAAGATAGAGGGAAGAAAGGAAGATATTGCGGGAAGCAGGAAGTTCGACAGATTGGAGATACAATACCAAATTACATTTGTATAGGGTTTTTCATGTCAGGAGGACATCCCAAGGCACTGGACAGTCAGGGATTTGGCCGCAAGCAGGGGGGGTTGGAATCAGGGAGGGTAGGAGAGGCCTAAAGGTACGGTTGAAGAGGAGGTTTTGAGACTTGCCTTGAAGGAGGCAAGGGAGGGAACGTTGTGAAGGGAATGTGGTATTGAGTTCCAAAGGGTGGGGCAGAGAGGGTGAAGCTCGACAGCCAATGTTGAGGGGGACAGGCAGGGCCTTGAAATGAAACAATCTTGAGAAGAAAATAAATACTATATGAGTCCTGAATTTCAAACTGTGAGAAAACAGGGAGAGAAGGAAAATAGGGTAGAAATAAATCAAAAATTAGGAAAACAATAACCATAAGGGTTTCAATAAAACAAGAAAAGAAGATTTGACAGATGAAGCTAATGAAATGTTTAAGGTTTGAGCATAGGGCTTAATGATCATACGAACTACACTTCATTGCTTTACTTTAATCTTTTGTGGATAAAACACAGATGCAATACACAAACACCAGCACGCCTTCACCAGTAATCTTTTCTGCAGCCACTCAAGCTGCACCAGATTCAAGTATGTTTTACTGAGAAAAGCTCCCAGCTTGGACCAGACACAAAATATAAAGACGGCAACATCTGTCACAGTAACACACCTTTCTGATACTGGGTCGAATGGCAGGCAACCACCAAAGGTTCTGGAGCTCAGTGGTTAGAGTGCTCACCTCGCAAGCAAGAGATCTGGGTTTAATTCCCAGCAGAGCAAAACCTTGGGCAACTTTCCTCACTCCACATGCCTGATAATAATCCCTCAAGAAAAAAAGAACAATAATAATTTGGTCACTCAATCCACGACTGTTTGTGGGACACTGCTGTGTGCAATTGGCTGCCGCGTTTTGCCCACAGGTATAGTCAATCCATCAATTCACTTTACAGTATATTCTGGGAAGCACTTTGAGACGTCTAGAAGACGTGAAAAGCGCTATATCACATGCAAGGATTACTATTTTATTATTAAAAGAAAATAATGGGTTGTGGGGTCAGGGCTATATATTTGCTATGGTAGTTGTGCAGAACTGGAAATAAACATCTCTATGTTGATAGCAAGATAAATGAACACAGGTAGGTTCTGATTTTCCCTATCTCTAGAAATAGAAAATGGTGAAATAGATACAATTGTTAAAATAGAATCAAAGAATTATACAGCACAGAAGGAGGCCACTCGTGTCTGTGCTGAATGAACATGGTGGTGGATTTACAGAAACACCAATCTGTTGTCCAAATTCCTATCTTTATTGTGGGCGACTGCTGGCTTGGCATGGCTGGAGAGAATCCTTATCGCCAATCAAAATCTTTAAAGGTGGAATAATGTTCTGGACGCCTATTTTGACCAACATGAGTAGGAGTCTTTCAAAGTACCTTCGGCATTCGTTGACCCTATATTGAGTAGTCCTGAGCCCTATACATCACGAAGATCCACTCCCAATTTCTTGTCTGTTTTGAGAAGCCTAATATTCAGTGGAGCAACATCAAAATATGTGACGTTGTTTCCCAGGTCTAGTCATGAGATGTAATCTGTGTTTGCCTGTTATCCCTTGTTTCTGTTGGTTATTGTGAACCTGGCCACAGTCGAGGTAAAAATTACTTTTTAAAATGAGCCTGGAACTACTGGAATCTCGAATTCCATCTTTACCAGAATATGAATGACACAAAAGCAGTCGTTGTGATATACGGTGGGTCTGCGGCAGTTATTAATGCACAGAAATGCAGATTATCAGTGGATCATCTCAATATTTTATTCTTCCAACAGGTAACACATCATTCACAAACTCCAGCACGGCTTCAACAGCAATGACTGTATCCTCCAGTGCAATCACAAGTATGTCCACATACACAGCACTTCCTCATTTAGGTATTGAGAGGTAACAATTTGCCCATGGTCATGTGATGCGCTCATCAATACCGGCACCACCACATTTGTAGTTGACGTATAATAGGGAGAGGGTCTAAATTGCTAGAGTAATAAAGGATCAGAAATAAGATCATCCCCTATTGTCCTCATTGTCGCAGCCTTAAAATCTTTCGGTTAGAGAGAATCTTTATCTTTACCAATAACCAAAAATCTGAAGCTATTATTATGGCTTGGATTTCTACCTTGAATAGGATATGAAATTTGCTCATCTTAAAGAAAAATCAAGAGCTGTCTGATGGGTTAGTCTGTACCATATTAGGTAGTACTGAGCCATACACATCAGGAGCATCCACACTCAGTTTCTTGTCTGTTTTCAGAAGGTTAATGACAGGTGGAGCAGCTGTCACAGAGTCACAAAATGGAACTTGATTTCCCAAGTCTGGGCAAGAGAAAATATCTTTCTCGTTTTTGCCTATCATCATGTCGGTTGTGTGAATGTGGCCAGTTTTGACACCTGCAAATTAAAGACCATAATCCCTTTAACCTGGTCTGCAAATGGTCTGCAGTTCATCTTAACCAGAAGATGAAAGAAACATAGTCCCGCTGTGTGATATATGCCTTACAGAGAGTTACTGTGTTCATTTCAAATGAGAAATTCAGATTAATCTTGAATTCTTTCTTGATATTTTATCGTTCCAACAGGTGCACCATTCACAAACTCCAGCACGGCTTCACCAGCAGTGACAAGTACAGCACCACTCACAAACTCCAGCACGGCTTCACCAGCAGTGACAAGTACAGTACCACTCAGAAACTCCAGCACGGCTTCACCAGCAGTGACAAGTACAGCACCACTCACAAACTCCAGCACGGCTTCACCAGCAGTGACAAGTACAGCACCACTCAGAAACTCCAGCACAGCTTCACCAGCAGTGACAAGTACAGCACCACTCACAAACTCCAGCACGGCTTCACCACCACTCACAAACTCCAGCACGGCTTCACCAGCAGTGACAAGTACAGCACCACTCACAAACTCCAGCACGGCTTCACCAGCAGTGACAAATACAGCACCACTCCAAAACTCCAGCACGGCTTCACCAGCAATGACAAGTACAGCACCACTCACAAACTCCAGCACGGCTTCACCAGCAGTGACAAGTACAGTACCACTCACAAACTCCAGCACGGCTTCACCAGCAGTGACAAATACAGCACCACTCCAAAACTCCAGCACGGCTTCACCAGCAATGACAAGTACAGCACCACTCACAAACTCCAGCACGGCTTCACCAGCAGTGACAAGTACAGCACCATTCACAAACTCCAGCACGGCTTCACCAGCAGTGACAACTACAGCACCATTCACAAACTCCAGCACGGCTTCACCACCACTCACAAACTCCAGCACGGCTTCACCAGCAGTGACAAATACAGCACCGCTCACAAACTCCAGCACGGCTTCACCACCACTCACAAACTCCAGCACGGCTTCACCAGCAGTGACAAGTACAGCACCACTCACAAACTCCAGCACGGCTTCACCACCACTCACAAACTCCAGCACGGCTTCACCAGCAGTGACAAGTACAGCACCACTCACAAACTCCAGCACGGCTTCACCAGCAGTGACAAGTACAGCACCACTCACAAACTCCAGCACGGCCTCACCAGCAGTGACAAGTACAGTATCACTCATAAACTCCAGCACAGCTTCACCAGCAGTGACAAGTACAGTATCACTCATAAACTCCAGCACAGCTTCACCAACACTGACACCACACTCCAGTCCAGACTCAAGTATGTCTACATACACAACAAAATGGACACTTTTAATCCAAAATAAATCTTTCACCATGTGGCTTGATCATGTGTGAAAACTCCAGGGAGAGCAAAAGCAAATTTCAGTACTCTACAGAAGAACATCCATCTACCTGACACTTAGCATATCAGTACACTCTTCTCCCTGCTTTCCACTGTAGGGTAATAGTGAAAGAGGGTGTACCAGTAGTAGATTTAAGGCTTGGTATGAATGGACCATTTATTTTGCCAGTGTATTTCAAATACCAAAGTGGCATTTCGCTTGTTTGAAATTTTGCAGCCAAACAAATACTTTTTAACAAGAGCATTACTTCTATGCCATCCAGTTATCCAGTTGTAATTACATTCATGGCTCTTTTAATCTGGTAACAAACTTAATGGTGATATTCACACAGTCAAGCAGACCATATATGAAGAACCATGTCCCATTTCCTGTACCTTTGCTGATTGTGCAAACTCTCCAAACGGTTCATTTGTATTAAACATCTGTTCTTGATGGCTTCTCTTTCAGAGTAATAGATTTTCATGCATTTATTTTGATCTTTTTACAGACACAAGCACAGCAGCATCAGTGACTTCTGCATCCAGTAGCACCATAGCATATACAAGTATGTTGCAAAGCCACTTGTATACCAGTTGAAGGATATCATGCATTCTGACTGAGCTAGCACCTACAAACAGCACGCACAGTTCAAATTGTCTAATATTGCTGTGCGAAACTACCACGAAAATCAATGCAAATATGAATGATAAATATTGTAAAGTGATATTCTGTGTTAAGTTGACCTTGGTTGGTGGAGAAAATCGCAATTCCCATCGTTCTGATATTTTTATTTCAAAATATTTTTGAGGTGTTAAACAAGGTATATAAAAAGTTCACATATTGTTGGTTTGGATCTTTCCATGGAGTATTTATGGAGACTTCAGGTAAACTTTCCGAATAATTTGTCAATTTATAATTAAGAGCTTGCGGGGAGCTGAAAAAACAGGTTTTGTCTCAACACGACTCCTCTAAGGACAGCTGAAATTCCTTCATCACAGATTTGATAAAAATTACAGAAAACAAGAGTGAGCTCATGCACATTTGAATGGTAATGTGTCCATTGTGTGGCTGTGGTCTGCAACAACCAGCATTGCCATTTCTTTAACGAATGGGAAAACAGACATTGCCATTCTTTTCCATACAAAAAAATGATAATTTTCTGTAAAGAAAAGAATCCTACTAGCTCTGCCTGCATGGAGCTATTGCATGTATTTCTTGTGCACTGTTCGGTGAAGTGCAGTAAGCTTATGCATTTCTTATTTTTAAAGTAAGTGTGTCTTAATTCAGTGCTTCTCAGCTACCCAGCTGATCAGCTAATTTATCTGGTAGAATTTTGCCTGTGTGACGTTATATCTTTAGATCTTTAAAAAGGTCCAATCATACTTCATACTCAATTTTTTTCTGGACTCAAGACGGTGTTTAGATAAGAGTGTAGATATTGAGAGTATGACACTATTAACAAGATCACCCTAAACAATGTTTGTAAAGTTACGCAAATTGAAATGAAAATATTGTAAAATTCCTCTGATGTGTGTTTTTTAATCTTAGGTGCAACACCAGCAAGCAAGAGTTGTGGTAAGAAATGTTTGTGTATTTACAATAGATCTCTTAATGTGTTGAAATGTTTTACAGTGTAATATAAGCAATTTAACATATTTTCAAATAGAGTTCTGTCTGTTGCACAGATGATTTTTTTGTTTTCTAACCGCTGCCTGGTTTGATAAACATTTAAAACTTGTGGTCTCAAATCCTGATTAAACAGAAGAAAGTTTATTTCAGTGTCAGTTGACAAGGAATAAAACAAACGCATTATCCCCATCCTCAAAAAACCTTTTCCTGGATCCAGCCCTGTTCTTCAATTACCGCCCCATCTCCAATCTCCCTTTTCTTTCCAAGATCCTGGAATGTGTCATTGCTTCCCAGCTATGCTCTTTCCTTTCCCGCCACTCACTCTACATACCCCTGATATCGGATTACCATGCTGCCCACAGTACAGAAAAAGCCTTGGTCAAAGTCACAAATAACAAGTTGTTCAACTGTAAATAGGGCTCTCTCTGTCTCCTTGTCCTCCTTGATCTTTCTGCTGCCTTCGACACTGTCACCCATTCTATCCTTCTCCATCGCCTCTCTTAGCTCAATCTTCATAGTCCTGCCCTTGCTTGGTTCAAATCTTACCTTTCCCATTGTTTCCATTTTGTGTCCATGATTGGCTTCTCCTCCAGCCCCCGCACCATCAAGTGTGGAGTTCTTCAGGGTTCTGTCCTTGGTCCTCTCCTCTTCAATATTTACATGCCCCCACTTGGTGACATCCTCCGCAGACACGGCGTCAAGTTGAACATGTATGCGGATGACACCCAACTCTATCTCTCTGCCTCCATCCTTGACTCCAGAACCACCGGTATTCTGACGGAATGTCTGTCAGACACCAATTCCTGAATGAGAGCTAACTTTCTCCAGTTGAATGTCAACAAGACCAAGGCTCTCCACACTTCAGGCACTGACAGCATCACCATCCAGGGATGCACACTCCGCCTCACTGAGCCAGTCCAGAACCTTGACATCTTATTGGACACTCAACTGTCCTTTCCACACTGTATCCATTCTATGACCCTCTCTGCCTTCCCCTACCTCCACATCATCCCCACTGCCTCTCCCCTCAGGCCGCTACGAAGCTCATCCATGCTTTTGTTACATCTAGGCTCGACTACTCCAACTCTCTGCTTGCTGGTCTCCTCAATTCTTCCCACCACAGTAATAATCCTTGCATTTGATATAGCCCCTTATCACGTCTTCGAGACCTCTCAAAGCACTTCACAGAGTATACTGTAAAGTGAATTGACTGTATATTTTGTGGGTTAAAATATATAAAAGTTGCAGATCATTCAGAACTCTGCAGCTCTTGTCCTCTCCCACACCAAGCTCCGTGACCCTATCACCCCCATCCTTGCCCAGCTCTATTGGCTCCCCATCCTCCAGAGAATAGAATCCCCAAATCCTCATCCTCGCCTTCAAAGCCCTCTACTACCTTGCTCCTTTCTACCTCTGCGACCTGTTAACATCTTATCAACCTGTCCGCGCTCTCCACTCAGCAGGCTCCGGCCTGCTCCAAGTCCCCCACCCAGTCCACCCCACCATCAGCAGTCACCCCTTCAGCCTCTCTGCCCCACCCTTTTCAACTCCATCCCACAGTCCCTTCGCCTTGCTTCCTCTCTTGCCTTTGGTCACCCTCCTACTCCTCCTGCCCTCCACCTCTCCTGATCCCAACCCCTTCCTTTGGTCCAAATCCCTGACTATCCAGTGCTTTTGGACTTCTTCCCGACTTGAAAGGCACTATACTAATGTAATTTGTTATTGCTGCTGTTGTATGCCGAGTGGCCGAATGACCTACTCCTAATTTCCTGCTCAAAAAAAGGTAAACATGTTATCATAGAAGAGGTGACTGTGGGAGACTTTATCCTCGGTTTAATTAAGTAATTTGCTCATTACACCCATTTCTTGTGTTAATTAAGACAAGGAATGATAAAGGAACATTGAAAATTTTACCTTATAGAATTATTTTTGTAAATAAATAAACATTCACACGTCAACATTATATTGCATGATTGTTTGACATGTTTTCCTTTTTGTTTCAGACTATACGCTTACTGAAATTAAATCTAAAGAAAACATTCTAACTCTGCAACTAAATGACACAACTGGACAATATCTTCATGTTTATTGCAACAATACCAATGGGACAAAGCTGGAGACAAACAGATTTCAGTTTTTTAATTTCTTACCGTGTACCACTTACTCCTGTTCTGCAAATACGACCAAATGTAACCAAACAAGGGATTTCAGTCGTGACCCACCATCACATGATCGTCAGTAGGATTCATATGATACTTTTTTTAATCTATTGTAACAATAATGTCTTGTGCTTCTGCTGAAAAAAGTTCCTGAAAACTGAGGTTATCATCTTTTAGGAAGGCCTTCCCGACCTTTGGATAAAATGTTAAACCGAGGCCTCGTCTGCCTGTTCAGGTGGACGTTAAAGATCCCACGGCACTATTTGAAAAGAGATTGGAATTTCTCCCAGGCTCGAGGCAACAATCCCCCCAAATAAAATAAAACTGGGTCACTCATTCCACGACTGTTTGTGGGACATTGCTGTGCGCAATTGTGTTGTCACATTTTGCCTACAAACGAAGTCACCCCATTTCACAGTAAATTCTTCCTACTTGTAAGACCCCTCCAGTTGATCACACCAATCTTACAAAATCCCTCCTTTCCCTGCATCCAACCCTGCCAATTGAAAGCGATCCCACATGAAGGAACGCTATACAAATGCAAGCTGTGTTGTTGTTCATCTGGGTTCTGATTTATTTCTCTTTCTCCCCATCCCTGCAGGATCTCACATTTCTGATTCTACCTCACGCTCCCCTCCCCCCCCCCCCCCCACCGTAGGCACACACCAAAACCTCACCCATACTTTTCCACCATCAAATTCGACTTTTCCAATGCTTTGCTCACTCTCCCCAGCTCCACCCTCCATATGCTCCCTCTTGACCATCCAGACTTTCGCAGGCTGAATCCTCTCCCAAACTAGCTTCAGTGAGTCCATCAATCTCATCCTCGCCTGGATTCACTGAGTTTCCCTGTAGGTTAACTTTAATATCTTCATTCTTACTGTCAAATGCCTCCAAGGGTCTTGCCTCTCCTTCGCTGCTCTTTTGTGATCCTTCCACCGGTGACTTCCTCCACTCTGCCAGCTCAGGCCTGCATCTAGGACCAACGAGTTTTGAGCCACTTTGTCCCCGCCCTCTGGACCTCTATTCTGAAATCCCTCGACCTCCCTCCCTCCCTCCACCGTTTTTGCTTACAAATACCATCTAAATACCATCTATGTATTTCTGTTTTTTTCTGGAAGCTGTGCTAAGGCTAACTATGAATCTTTTTTGTTAAACAATTGAAGAGAAAAAAAACTTTAGTTGTAAGCTGTGTAAGTTTAAGAAATGTAACAAATTATAATTTATCATGCTTTGTTTCCTTACTAGAACTTAACTTCACTATTACGACGAAAGAGAATGACGATAACATTGATTTCAAAGTAGAAGGAAATAAAGTAAATCACAGTTGCAAACTGGCTTATCAATGGAACTGTTCTGCACCTTCAGGTATTTATGAGGAAGAACATAACATTATAATAGATACAGTTTTAACTTAAAGCTTTTATATATATTCACATAGCTATAGTAAAATGAGAGCTCTGGTTTGAAAAGGTCATGATGATAATAATCCTTGCATCTTTGATGCAACACCTTATCACGTCTTCGAGACGTCTCAAAGCACTTCACAAAACATACTGCAAAGTGAATTGACTGTATAATTTGTGGGTGTCCCACAAACAGTCGTGGATTGAGTGACAAAATTGTTTTTTTTTGAACAAATTATTACCCCCGGAAAAGCGATCCGCGAATCGGCCAACAACCGGGTTCAAACCCAAGTCTCTCCCTTGCTACAGGACTCCACATGATGAAATTAGAAGAATTGTAAATAACTCACAATTACATGCGAGTTAGTTTTGTACAGCCCTCCACCATTCTACCAAGTAGGGTAGTGAGTCGGCAGAGAAATTTTGGACCTCATTGAAGAGCTGAGATGCTCCTACTGTCTGTCAACTGCTGGTTGTTTGTCCAACAGCTGTGGCAGTAGTTGAGAATTACCTGTTCTGCTCTTGTAGAGCTTCTCAGCTCCACAAGAGCAGAAGCCAGAGGCAAGTTATTGAAGGGAGAAGGGTGGATGAGAGGGAGGTTTGTGAAAGAAATGCATTATTTTAAAATGATATTGTTTCTTAAGTAAATAATAGGAAAAATAATCTGAAAATCAACTTTTCTTTTAATAAAACTCACCATGTCAGCTATATAACCATGTCTCCAGTACTTCAACAACCGTATTTGAATTAACTCACAATGTCCTTGCATCTCTCTTGAGGTTATGTCATATCCCATGAACTTGAACTATACCAGTTTGTTAATTCCCCACATTAACCAAATACGCAACCAGAGCCTGTAGGCCAGGCAGCACTCCCACCATGTGCCAAGCTAGCTGTGTCCTTGGGTGATGGAACCATCTATACTTGCCAACAGAGTGCTCTCTGCAAATCAGCTCTTTAGTAGAGCCAGAGCCATTGTGATTCACAAAATGGCTGAAGCTTTGTGCAATCTGGTCAGATCTGCCAGAATTTACTTTTGGCCAGCAGCCTACAATGTTACCACTGAACAGGTGCCCAGAGTACAAGGTTTTCTGTGTGTGCAACTAAATTTGCACCACACATGCTTTCATAATGTGGTACTAATGGGATGAAGGAATAGAGTTTCACGAATAATGTTTAATCCAACTGCAGAAGGGGGAGCTTTCAGGACTTTATGAGCCGGGTATGATGCTTCCTTTTCATTTTCTTCTAATTTCACTCTGTGATTTGTTTCTTAACAATCATGCTTGTAACAGAATGTATACCTGGTACAATAGTACTAGAACTGTTTGCATGAATCTGGATAATGTTAATCATTTTGTTATGTGTTGTTTTCATTTCAGTTATCAAAAATGAAAATCCAGAGCCAACGGACAATTACACAGTTCAGAAAAATAAAACATTGACATCGTGCATTGAATATCGATGCTCCATCATAGTCTCTCTTCAAAATAACCAAAGTTATATTTTTTTCAATGGATTCAAGTCAGTCTTTCCCAAAAAATCAAGTAAGAATAGAATCCATCAGAACAATTAGAAATCTTAAGTATGTTAAGTATCTTAAGTATGGCCATGAGATATACAGACCAGGTTAACTGATCTCACACAGTGCTTCAACAAGTCACAGTGTTTCCCCAGGAAAAGGATATGGAGTAAAGGCGGGTAACTGGAGTTGATCAGCCATGATGTAGTAGAATGGCGGAACAGGCTCGAGGGGTTGATTGGCCTCCCCCTGTTCCTATGTTTTCTATATTTCCTATGTAAAAGGAGGAGATGCATTCATCTTGGGAGTAGGTTCCTTTTCCCTGCATTAAAGTGCAAGGAAATATTGGGTGACTCTGGATTTAGTCTGTTTGTGTGCATAAGCGTGTCTTGTGTCTGTGTGTGTGCGTATGCTGTGCATGCCAGTGCATGTGTACTGGAACTGTGGGGTGAGATATGAAGGTTGTCACCAGATGCAGAAGTTGGTACTGTGAGAGAGAAGCGTTTTCACTGTTTGTGAGGAGAGAGAAAAGGCTTAGTACTGCATTGGAGACCCTGTGGGTGGGGAAAGGATGGTGGGAACTTTGAGACGAGAAGGGCTGGCACTGTGCTGGGGGTAGGGGGTGGGGATGGGGTAGGAGAAAGAAAGACAGGCACTGTGTGGGGGATCTGGGGAAAAGAAAGGTTGGCACTGAGGAATAGAGAAGGAGAAGTATTAGCACTATGGAGAGAAAGAAAGACTTATACTGTAACAATACAAATCCTAGTGGATTATTTTTGGTGACTCATGTCCACCTATCAAATTTACAATGGGTCCGCTTCAACTTAATATAGACATTGGAGTCTCAACTGTTTTGCTAATATCCTAAATGTGTTTCTATTATAGCACTTGAAACACCTTTTAATGTTTCAAATCGAACAAATACGACTATTTCTGGTCACCTGGCTTTTAATAATTTAAATATTCGGACAAACTTCTCTTATGTTGGTAAGAAATATACTTTGTATTTGTTCTTTGCAATGTTTGTTTCTCTTATCTGCGAGTACTGTTTTTCTTCTATTATCAGCTTGGATCAGTTGGAATTACTCTTGCTTCTGAGTCAGAAGGTCAAGTCCCACATTATGACTTTGAACTCATCATCTCGGCTGATTCTACAGTTCAATGCTGCTTCAGTGCTGCATTGTTGGAGGTGCAATTCGTCAGGCGAGACGTTCAGGTGTTCATTAGAAATCCCATGGCATTATTGAAAAGAGAAGGGAATTTCTCCCAGTGTTCAGTCTGACAATCCCCCAAAATTAAAATTGATCATTCATTTCATGGTTGTTTATGGGACATTGCCGTGCCCAAAATTCCTGTCGCATTTGTACAAGATACAAAGTCACTACACTTTACAATATATTCTGTAAAGCATTTTGACATGTTCTCATGACGTGAAAGGCACTATAATATATGCAGGAATTATTATTATCACAGAATTGAAACCTTTCAAAGCACTTCACAGGATTACTGTAAAGTGTTGTGACGGCACCTTTATAGGTGAATACAGCAGCTTATTTTTGCGTAGCAATATCTCACCAAAAGTCCTTAAATGGCCAATTTTATTTTGAGAATTGTTGGCTGGAACACTAGAAGAAACTCCCTTTTTTGTAATAATCCCAAGGGATGTTTAACATCCATCTGAACAGGCAGGTGGGACCTTGGTTTAACATCTCATGTGAAGGTCAGCACCTCCAACAATGCAGCTGTCTTCCAGCACTTCACTGAAGTGCCAGCCTAGCCTAGTTCTGACGTGAGGCTTAAATCTTCCATCTCACAACTGAGTGTTACTAACTGAGACAGACTGTTACCTTTTATTATTAAGAATAAATAAGAACTGACGAAAGGCTAATTTGTATGTATTTACGGCATTTCCGTCTGCTGAACCTTCTGAAAGAGAAGCAGCTGTGAAGGTAATCCAAGATCCTGTAGGTTCACTCCATTCACCCTGCATAATAGGATCCACAGCAGCAGTAGTAATACAGAAATCCAGCTCAGTTTGCTCACAGCCAAAGATAATGCTAACACTCTGCACCTTTACCTTGCTGCCACATGTTGCATGATACATATCTACCTGGAGAAAGCAAATAAAAAGATAAACTGGAAATGCTGAAGATTTGAAATAAAACCAGAAAGGATGTCACAGAAGATCAATTAGCACCTGAAAGAGTGTTGATACTTCAGATGGGATCATAGTTTGGTGAAAAAAACTAACAAACTAACTAACTAATATTAGTTTCTTTCTTTTACAGACGAGAACGGAAATGAAACATCCTGCGAATCCACCGATACAACATTTAATTGTCAGGGATTAACTCCATTCACATCGTATAATATCTGTCTGAAGGCCTCCTTGATGTGCAACATCAACTCCATAAATACAAAAAAGTGTTCCGATTATAATACAACAGAAGGAGGTAAGTAATATCATCTAATATTGCAAAGTTCATAGATGTTAAGTATTCAATTATTGGAGTCATAACTGACTAAACTTATTTCCCACAAATCTATATTTAATTAATTTAGTTGTTTGCAAGATTTTATTTGGAGAATTTGTTTCCTATTTATGCAAAAATATTCCGCAATGATTTATTCAAGAACATTATTCATTGAAGTTGCATCTTGTTCTACTTCAATGGAAACCCTGAGTGTTGCTGCATTAGTTGTAGTTGCAGTATTTCTGGTTTCCTTTAATCAACCTCCACAGAAGGGAAATAAAATGCTTAGGAGGAATATAGAGAGAAGTTTGAATTGTACTTTCACGAAAGAAAGAACTTTCACAAGTTCACAAGAGAGGTTTGGATGAAGTTGCACCTCAAGCCATTTGATCTAATTTTTCCGGAATACCCATCCTAAATTCCTCCCATTACACAAGCAAACTGTTTCTGAAACGTTTGAATTCAATAACCATTCCTGGTAACAAGTCTTCTTGGTATCTACCCTGTTCTCCCCTCTCCCCTATTGTGACTGGAACATGTTATCTGAGGAAGCGTGACCTGTTAACACAGTGGCTCAAAATAATTATAATAATAAAAATAATCCTTGCGTTTGATATAGCGCCTTATCACATCATTTAGACAACTCAAAACGCTTCAGACATGTCTCACACAAAATTGTTGGCTAGGACAGACAGGAGACCCTCCCTTCCCACTTTTGAATAGTGCCACGGGATCTTTAACAGTCACCTGAACAGGTAGATGGGACCTCGGTTTAATATCTCATCCGAATGACGGCACCTCTGACAATGCAGCATCTCCCCAGCATTGCATTGGAGTGTCAGCTTCAATTATGTGATTCCATATCCCGATGTGGGGCTTGAATCCACAACCATTTGACTCAGGGGCAAGAGTGCTATGACTACTCCAGTCGTAGCTGACACAATATACCAGCATATCAAAGCTCTGGCTCACAGTATTACCCACTAGTCTCATTTTAAAGCAATATTATGATCAGATATACTGAATTTCTGTTCACTTATAATCAGATGGCTCAACTTGTATCACAGTACACCAAATTCCATTAAAACAACTGGAACTTTGTCGCTTCAGTTTGAGGGAACCCTGCTCTATAAATAGATTGAGTTAAATGCGGTATTGCCGACAAAAGCTCAATAAGACATCAGTAACTAGTTATTTATGGCCCAGCACAACTTTAGTTTGTGAATTCCTTCTATTGGAGAAGGTGAGTTACTTTTACTGTTCAATTTAATTCAATGGCATAAAGTGGTAAATTATGATGGTTTCTTTTTTCCTAAAGTACCAGGAAATATCATTATTAGAAATCAACAGCTTAACGCCAACAATGAAATTCAAATCGATTGTGTCCCACCAAAGGACTTGAACGGCCCACCTGGATTGTTTTACGCAAAACTCGAAAATTCTGGTGAATTGCAAAATAAAGAAAAATGTCATTTTAAATTTCCGGGCTTGAATTACCACACCATTTATACGATACAGGTAATTATCTTTCAAGTTTCTGTTGTCTGACATAAAACAAACATTATACTTTGTATTATTTTATTAATAATATTGTCTTTTAGGTGTGGGCAAGCAATTCCAAACATAACGGGTCTAGGGTGAAAGTAACATTTGCTACATCATGTAAGTGGAAATGCTTATTTCAACTTTTGACTGAATCGTAGGGATTTCGGTGACCACTTACAATGCAGTGAAATCCGGATAATTGAATAGTTTGGTTTATTGAATAGAATTTAGAATTCCCAAACCATTTGCACACCTAATCTAAGAGTATAGATCAGCTAATTGAATTCCAGATATACAAATTCTTTGGTTTATTTAATATTTTTTCCCGTGATCATTCGTATAAAAACCTGAGTTTTTAACCTGAGTCCAAATAAACACAGTCCCAAATTATTATCTTCTACACTAAAGTATGGACATCATCAGGGTCCTATACTCCTTCCCCCTTCCCTTGCCTCACTCCCCAAAGCGATGCTGAGTCTCCTCTTATGTTTTGTCTGGTTATATGAATAGTTCAGTTTGTTGAATATTTTTTGCTGTCAAATTGAGTATTCAATTAATAAACAGGGATTCAGGTTGCACAAATAATAATAGAGGAAATAGTGTTAGGAGCAGTGTAATTTCACCTATGCAATAGAAACATGTCAGGTTCAAACCACACTGGATTCTGTACCTCGTGGGTCCTTGTGAAGCCTGAAAGATTTTGGTGGACTATTTTTTAATATTATTAAAGAAACTATTATGTGACCATTTCTTTAATAAGATTGAAAAGCAAACACCTGATGTTCATGTCCTACAAATGTCCTTGGTGCAAGCTTAGAACAACACAATTAGGTGATTCTTGTTTAACAGCTTGCATTGATGCAATGTGGGGTTGCAGGAAGCATCAACTGGGCCTCCTGCTCCACATCGCTGGCCCTCCGAGAGTGAAGCCAGAATAAATGCAGAATAATAGGGTCATCCCTATCATTTCTTCTCATTATTTGAAAACTCTTCAGTCACACAATATAACCTTCTCAGCTTTGCAGAATATAATCAAAGTTATCCAGCTTCTTATCATAATTCAAGCCCTTCATTATCAAATGTGAATCATGGCGGGAATCCCAATTTAGCCAATATATCCTTCCTAAGATTGATGTTAGGATTATTGAGATCACGTGCTAACCAATTGATGGGAACAGGATCAGAGTATAAAAGAATGACCACCATCTGAAGTTGGGGAAGGTGTTGGAAGATGGATTGTAGATAGCAGATTTGGAGGATGATGAATTAACCAGCTAGGAATACATTCAAAGTGTGGTGTATTTTATTCCTCATAGAATCACAAGTCGGGTGCCTAAAATCAAGCACAATACTAAGATTACTATTAAACCCATAAAATGATTAAATATGTGAAATAAATATTTTTTGTTTATTTTTGGTTTAAATAAGGTACAGGAAATTCTGGTTTGATCATAGATTTCAATGCAACTATTTCTAACACCCTTTATACTGCATTTATCACATGAATACTTTTGATTATTGAGGGCTGAGTTGTTCATTATTTCTTTCCTTTTTCGTAAATGATTGAAACATTGTATATTTCAGACAATGAAAATGCATTAATTGGATTCCTGGTGTTCCTGATTATTCTAACTTCAGTAGCTCTGATCGTAGTCCTTTGGAAAATCTACAGTCTGCAGAAGAAATCTTCAAGGTATTTATGTGCAACACTTGTTGAACTGGGGGCTTAAGATTGGAAATAAATTAAATCAAGCAGCAGTGAGTGTCAAAGGCTGAATATTTAGGTATTTAGTTGGATAGCATGATACAAAAACAATTACACAGAATGTTACAACATGAAAACAGACCAACCATTCAATCCAACTACTCTGCGTCATTTCCACATAATAGGATTATGGTCATTATTAAGGGATGTTATTACAAGGCGCATTCACGAATGAAATATTGTCTTACACTTGTTATTGACTTTCTTACTTTCTTATTCTTGTTTCCCATTCCAAACCAGAGATTGTGATGAAGATGTGGAACTTATCGAGCATGGTTTGTAAACTTTTTTTTGTCTTGGAACAAATACAATTAATGCACCTTATTTAAAACAAAAAATAACACCAGAAATGCCTATGAATTCTCACTTGATCTCTGCTCAATCTACTCACTGTCAACCATTTCAGATGATGAAAAGCAGCTGCTCCATGTGGAACCAATCCTTGCGGAGCACCTGCTTGATGCATTCAGGAGTAAACAGGCTGATGAAGCAAGACTGTTTTTAGCTGAATTCCAGGTATGTATATTTTGTGGAATCCTGTAGCGTAGTGGTAAGAGCACTCGCCTCCCAAGTGAGAGGACCTGGGTTCAATAATCGCATAAATAAAATAAAATAATAAATAATTTGGTCTATTGATCCACAAAATATACAGTCACTTCACTTTACAGTATATTCTGTGAAGCACTTTGATACATCTCGAAGATGTGATAAGGTGCTATATCAAATGCAAGGATTATTATTATTTGTTATCTGAATTGCTAATGTCATAAAAACTGCACCTTGCTGTGTGCAAATTGGCCGCCATGTTCCCCCACAAAACACACAGTCACACCACTCTACAGCATATCCCGTGAGGTGCTTTGGGACAAGGCACTATATCAACAACAATAACATGCATTTTATATAGCACCCTTCACGTGGGGCAGAGTCTGGGAGTGCTTATCTAATGTAAGTATTATTATAAATTCAGTACAGTATCAATAAATAAATCAATAAATAAGCAATTTACAGACTAAAACCAAACCCAGAACTCAAGCAGAATTACACTATTAGTTTCAAAAGTTGTAAATGAGAGGTTCTGCTCATTTCCAGGATGTCCATACTGGGTTCATTAGATCAAAGTAGCTGGTTCACTGATGTTGTTCCATTTCTTCATGTTTATTTAGGCTTTTCTCTTCCCTCGCACCCATCTGTAGTTATTTTTGTCCATTTCTCGGTTATTATCAGTTAGGTGTCTACACCCATCTCTTTGCAGCCAATAACTGTACAAGAGCAATCTGGTTTCACTCCTTTCTCTATCCTTTAATTCAAGAAATGTCTTCTCTCCACATCCTAACCTCTCCTACGATTCAGTGTGTCTCACCATTACACAAATGACTACTATGCTTTATTTTATTGCATTGAGTGACTTTTAAGAATATACAGCTGGATCCTTTATTGTCTGACTAAAACCAAAGCTGATTTTTCTCTGGAAGATTCATAGTTAGAATATCTTTACATTGATATGATACAATATCTATTTTTAAAGTTTAAGGGTGCTTCACAGAATTGAAAGTTGTTTAGAGATGTGACTAGAGATGATTGTGGACTTTCAGAGAGAATCCAAGTCTAGAACCTGCCAAATAAGAAATGTCGCTTTAAAAGTGAGACAAGAATGATTTGATTTTAAAAATTACGCATTAAAAATTACAGAGCATTCCAAGGGTTTTCAACAAATTTCCTGTCAAGGAGGCACGCAAACCTTACAATTCAATCAAGAATCGATATGTTGACATCCTGCCATGTAAGTAACAGGATCAACTGATCAATGTAAAAGCTATGGGGTATATTGCATTTATTCCTAAATAATTACAGGTATGTGTATACGTAGCACAATGCCAGAAAGTGATTTGGTGATTTTAAAAAAATCACAAACCAAGGCCTAAATAAAAGTAACATTGTATAAAGAATACAATAGCGGGGGTATGTGTGTGTGGATTAGATAGTACTTGTTTGAATGAACTCTCTGAAGATTTGATCAACAAATTATCTTTTGTTGAACATAATCTGGAAATAGAGCTCTTTGTACCTGTAGCACAGTACTTTGCCTTGCATTTGAATTTCACAAATACATTTATTAAAGTGAACATTTCTACTTGTCAAAGATACTCAATTTTATATCCTAAATTGAATACGAAATATAATATCGACAAACATAAGAGTGCTGTGAGCCTGGAGTTTATTCAGTTTATTCAGTCTTTTGTTGCCTCTGGGCACAATGATGCCTCACTTATGTGGAAATCAGCCTGTTTACCTTTTTCAGGGTGGGGGTGTGGGGAAGCAGTTATCATGACCAATAAAATGTTACAGCCAGTGAACACAGGGCAAATTTCCATCTGGGTCAAGATTCATTCTATTTTTGTAGCATTTCAGAGCATCCAGTATTTTGCATATTCATAAATACAGCCTTAACTTGGAGCCACATTTCTTTCCGATCTTTTAAGAACTACAGAGAACGAACTTGAAAAGTTGAGAGGGAATTCAACAATTTGACAAATTCTGAATGCTCTATAAAAATTGAATAAATCTACATCCAGATGAAAATTCTGCCCCAAAGTGCATGATAACCAACTTAATTTGCCTGATTATGGCATATTACTCTTTATTATATTTCTCATGTATTATATGAATTATGGCACATAGTGTATGAGTTGTTGCATATACATGACTTAGGGGATGTTTTATATGAGTTGAACACTTCTCTCTTACAGTAATTTAAATGTTATATAGCATTCTACTACAGTACTGGACATTATTATTCATTGTTGGTACTAAACATTGTGTTCCGGATTAAATTGAACAGTAACACTAACATGAAACATATTTATATACTCAATAAACTGTAAATACAGTTTTATTGTTACTTGTTTTAGATCTTTGTCATTGATTAAAGAATCTTAACTTTGGAAAGAAGAAAGAAACACAATCCTTTAACGGAAACAATTTGAGAGGTCTTAGCGACATGATAAGGCACTCTATTAAAATGCAAAGATTATTATATAACTGGGCTTAAAACTTTCCTGTTGGTTGAAAGTATTGAATTGTTGTATATTGAAAAGCCGTTGCCTTGTTATTTTAAATCTACTTTGAAATTAAGCTCCAGTAACTAGCTCTGTTTTCACGACAGACGATCACAACCGTGTCTCACTGTCGCCTGAGTCTGGAGTGCAAGGCTCAGACTATATCAACGCCAGTTACATTGATGTAAGTGAATACTTCGAACATGGCAGCTCACACAAGTTCTTTTCTGTCCTTTTGAAGCTTCAAGTAAAATACCTTGTGAGGAAAATGTGCGATTTTTAATGTTAAGTGTAAAACTAGTACTACGAGCAAGTATTATACCTGGATCAAAAGTTTTAAGTGACAGTTCTGTGCATAAGTCTGCACAATAGGAGTCACATTATTAAATTAATTAAATGGATATTTAAATGAAGCAGTGTTTTTTAGCTATTAAGGATCTCATCAGTAACCACTCTATCTTTCATAGGGCTTCAACGAACTCAGGAAATACATTGCTGCCCAAGGTAAATTCAGTTCTGTGCAAAAATGCTGTTTCAGTTGCCAATAAAGTTGAATAATAGGGGCAACTTAGTGAATGAATCATTGGTAGTTATACTCCATTCTCATGCCCACCTTTCTCAGGTCCGAAGGAGGAGACAAGCAATGACTTCTGGAAAATGGTCTGGGAGCAGAAGACAACGATCATTGTCATGGTGACTCGTTGTGAGGAAGGAAACCGGGTAAATTTCAGGTTCCACACATCTTCTCTTTGTAATTCACGTCACCAGTCTTCAATATGGCAGCCGAAGATTTCGAATTGGATATTTAACCATTGAACCATAGACAGCACAGAAGAAGGCCATCCATCGTAGCTATGCTGGCTCTTTTAAGAGCAATTCTTTCAGTCCCATTTACCTGTCCTATTTCCCCATACCCTCAAGGTTGATGTATTTTTATGTATTTATCTAGTTCACTTCAGTTCCCCATTTCTCAAGCATTTACTGCTTCCAAGAGTTTTGTGCCAGTGAATATCTAGAGCCGCTCTTGACTGCAGTGGGAACAATATCAGAATATTGGAGTCCTGTAGTTCAGTGGTTAGAGCACTCGCCCTGCAAGCAAGAAACCTGGGTTCAAATTCCAGCAGGGTGAAATGTTGGGCAAGTTTCCTTACTCCACACGCCTCTGTTTACCTAGCAGTAAGTAGGAACCTGGTTGTTAGTCAAGTGGCAAATCACTTTTCCGGGGGTAATAATTCCTTCTCCTCAAAATAATAATAATAAATTGGTCACTTCAATCCACGACTGTTTGTGAGACACTGCTGTGTGCAATTGGCTGCCACATTTCTCCCACAAAATATACAGTTATTTCACATTACAGTATATTCTGTGAAGCGCTTTGATGCATCTAGAAGATGTGATAAGGTGCTATATCAAATGTAGGGATTATTATTATTGAAATTTCTGATATATCTCAGTAAGACTGAATGGAGGAATTCACCGCTCCAAACTCCATTCCGCTTTGTCATAAACTTCTTTGTAATGTGAAATTATTTAATGTCAAAATATTGTTTAATTGTTCTGCCAGATAAAATCTATGGAATCCAGTTAGCACAATAATCTATGTTTTCTATTTAAAAAAAGCCCAAATGCGCTCATTATTGGCCATCTATGGACGAACAGAATAAATCCTTCGGGGATTTGGTCATAAGAATCAATGAAGAAAAGTGGTGCCCTGACTATGTTGTCCGCAAACTTTTCATTTCACACGTAAGTTCAAATAAGCTCCTTATGATTTCTGTGCTGTGGAAATTCTTTTAATGAAGGTTCTGCGATCACCGTTACTTCGCTCCTTGCTGAGAGATGAGATAACTAATTGATTGCCTTGCTGTTATTCTTCAGAAGAAGGAGAAGCCCACCGACAGAGAAGTTACTCACATCCAGTTCATTAGCTGGCCAGACCATGGAGTCCCAGAGGATCCACAACTCCTCCTGAAATTACGTCGGAGAGTTAACGCATTCAGCAACTTTTTTAGTGGTCCAATAATTGTGCACTGCAGGTAATGAGGAACATGAAATATGCAGCTTTGTTTCAATGTCTGAAAATAATTTCTTAAATTAACTTGCATTTAATTATCTCATGTCTCAGAGTTGTTTTGTGGCACACCACCTGATTTCTTCTTTGTTCAGAGATATTGTTGGCGCAACAGTACACAAACCTTTAAACCAACTAGCCTAAGCATAACAGGTCCTTTGATTTGCATCAGGTTTCACTATCCCTTGCACTGAAGTTATACTCCAGTTATCAGTTTGAAACAAGAACGTATTTTGGGAGCAGAGCTAGTAACCAGTGCTTTGTTACATTACATTGCTGTGCCCCCAAGCAGGGTAGAGCTGTGCATTTTGTACTCAAGACACACAGAAAATCCTGCTCATCATCCTGGTTATCAAACAACAGGGGAACAAACTCCCGTCTTGTAAACGTACAGTCTGTCAAAGGAAACATTTACATTTTGCCTTTCACAAGTGAAATAGAGTATGACTAAGCATTATTGTTTGCAATAATGTGCATAATAGTGATTGTTACACAGTGGGGTCCTGTAGCATATTGGTTAGAGCATGCACCTCACAAGCAAGAGGATCTAGGTTCGATTCTAGATGGGGCAAAACCTTGGGCAAGTTTCCTATACTCCAAACGCCACTGTTTGCCTAGCAGTAAGTAGGATCCCGGTTGCAGTTGTTAGTTGATTGGTGTATTGCTTTACAGGAGTAATAATCCCTACAAATAAATAAATAAATAAATAATAATTTGATCACTCAATCCTCCACTGCTTGTGGGACACTGCTATGTGTGATTGGCTTTTGCATTTAAGGGTTTCTAACTGAACGCTAATGCTTCACAGCGCTGGAGTGGGACGCACTGGCAGCTACATTGGGATTGATGCTATGATGCAAGGCCTTGAGGCTGAAGGTCACGTGGATATCTATGGCTATATTGTTGGGCTTCGTCGACAACGCTGTCTCATGGTCCAAGTTGAGGTACGTGCATCTCCTGCCGCCCCTTGAGAAAAATCCCCCTCCATGCTCTCTCCGCTGCATCTGAATTCCTACCTCTCTGGCCCTCCTCCTGCAATGACCTACCCTCCTTGGTCACCCTTCTAAACAACTCCCCTCTTGGCCATCAACAACACTCTTGCCTCCTTCAGCTCCCACACTGCCTCCTATTCACTCAAATCCCCCTGGTACACTAGCCAGATGCGAGGAGATGATGGATTTCCTCAAGGCCAAAGTCGAGGTGATCTGCTCTGCCGCCTCTAGACCCTTTACCGGCACCCTGTCCCCACCTCCCACTCTCCTTCCAGCCCCCCACCATCCATTCCTCCACACTTTTGACCCTGTCTCCCCCTCCTCGCTCACCTCCATCATTTCCCATATGAAACCCACCACCTGCTCCCTTGACTCCATCCCTACACCTCTCCTCACCTCCCAGCTCCACCTCCTTGCCCCCCTACTCTGCAGCTCATGCCCTCTCCAGCACCAGGCTTGTTCTTGTTTGGCTTCACTGGCTTCCCATTCCTCAGAGAATCGAGTACAAAACCCTCGTTCTTACCTTCAAGGCCCTCCATGGTCTTGCTCGTCCCTACCTCTCCAACCTCATAACCTCATATCAGCCTGTCCGCTCCCTTCGCTCAGCGGACAACGGCCTGCTTCAGGTCCCTTGGTGGTCAGGCATTCGGTATTTCTGCCCCCACAGTCTGGAACTCTATCCCACAATCCCTCTGCTTCACTCCCTCTCTTGCCTCCTTCAAGTCCCAACTGAAGACATTCCCTTTTGACCTTGCCTTCGGCCAGAAGTTGATCGTAAAGATAACTGAGCGCTTCCCCAGCACCGCACTGAAGCATCAGCTTTGACTATGACCTCAATGTCCGAAAGTAAGGCTTGAACCCACAACCGTCCAACTTAGAGACGTTAATATATAAAGTGCTCCCAAGAAGTGAAGGGCACAATATAAATGCAGCTGGTGGTGGTTGTTGTTGTATAGGAATTATTTACATAGTGTAAACCAGTTCATTTTTGGAATTTGATGATCTTCACTCATGCATAAGTGTTTCAACAAATGTTTGTTGCATTGCAGGCTCAGTATATCCTCATCCATCAGGCTTTGCTGGAGCACTATATCTTTGGAGAAACCGAAATCTGCTTGTCTGAGCTGCCCAAGGAACTAATTAATTTGAAAAGGGAAGACCCGGCTTCTGAGCCATCCATGCTGGTTGCAGAATTCCAGGTTAGTCAATTGCAAGTAACATCTAAACCTATAGAGTTCATACGAACGCTGTTATCCAAAAGACAGCAGGCTGCATATGTGTGTCACGGGAATTGAGGCACAGCCTACGATCTGCTTAGATGAATTTCAGGAGGTAATTCCAATTGTCTATAGAAAGACAATACAATAGCAAAACAAGACTGAAGTACGTTGTAACACAAAAGAACACGCTAACAAAATAACTGTCGACTATTTTACGGTTCCTGAACTATGTGAGGGGAGAGCAATGTAAAGCAATATTGAAATATATTCTAACAGAATTAGAAAGATTATTGTTAGAGTGTTTGAGAGGCAATGAAAAGGGCAACAGCTACAGTTGCCTATAGTAACAGCTATAGTAACTGTTAGCTGTTACTATAGGCAAACAACCTATAGTCTCACAGTCAAACACTGATGAATTATTTTGTGTTTGGATGTTTGCTAGTTAGGCTTAACCATCCAGTGCCTTGGGACATCCTTCCAACGTGAAAGGCGCTATGTAAATGTAATTTGTTGTTGTTTCTGTGGATGCGATGCAAAGCTTTGGAAGAACTATTCATTGGAGCCACATATGGTTAGAGTGAACAGGGTGGGAGTGTTAAATCTTTTTCATATTATTCAGTGATATAAACAAACTGTTGTATTTCTTTATATGTGAAATTATAAGGATTGAATCCCAAATTTAATCTTTCAGAGAATCCCATCTTATGATGCAAAATCAAAGAAGACTGGAAAATTGCCCGAAAATCAAAGTAAAAATCATTCCGTTTCAGTGATTCCATGTGAGTATCAAGTTTGCCTCTTGCTTTTTCTAAGGTTCATTTGTTGTGCTTCTTCTGGTCAGTAGCAAGAGGACTGTTCTTCTTAGTGATCAGCTCGTCTTGACATCTCATCAAAACTGAAAGAGGTGCATGTAAGGCAGCTGAGAGCTGCTTATGAATAAAGCCCCAAGTTGCCTCATTAACCTTGAAGCTGATTAATTTATTTAATTTTCTTTTCATGCCTGTAGCAACCGTAGAAAATATAACTTCTACAAGCTTTGCAAAATTGTGCTTCTTGCTTCTGCCAAAGGGGTGGGATGCATTGGGACCATTTGCTTCTCCACAAGCTGCTTCCAGTGCCATTTCATAACCAGGCAAATCAAGGATGACTTAGACAGGTTTGTCCTTAGGGATAATCAAGGCTGGGATTCAAACGTGCAACTGGGAGCCAAGTAACCACCAGCATAGTTGCTGGCTTAGCCCAGTCAATGTTTGTGAAGAAAATACTTTGAAACAAATGATCTTAATGATGTAATTTACTGTGGAGATTAAAATTGTACATTAATAAATTAGTATATAGAATATGCAAATAAAATATGAATACATTCATCTTCTGTTCTCATTCATGGCACTAATCTATTTGCACCAGACTAAATAGTGCTGCTCATGAATCCCCTCTTAGAATTTCCAGCAAGGATCCACTTCCAGCAGGCAGTGTGCATCCTAAGGGAAAACATTTGATTTCCCTCCCCCCACCATGTTTTCAAAGCCTTCCCCCATCTCCCTGGTCAATGCACTTTCAGAAAAATAGCTTTAAAGGTGGTGCAAAATCTGTTAAAATTTCCCACAGTTGTTTTGTCAGGGCTTACTACCTGGCTTTTACCTTACCTGCTAAGTACTGCTTGCATTCTTTTACCACCTTACCAACAGCTTGCATTTATATAGTGCCCCTCATACAGGGTAGCGTCCCAGAATGTATCATATTGAAATATGTCATGTTGTGTCATATTGAAATGCCTCAAAGGATTTCACGTAATTTACTCAGAACCAGGAAATGTTTGGTGTAGTTCTGTGTAGCTCTTTATGTCAAATGCTAAGGTGCGCAGTGTTCCTGTGGACAGTTGATTACTTACAGAAAGTTACAGAGAGAGGGCATTGTGCTTTATTTCCAGGCTTTGCTTGAATGATGAACATATGCTTTGTAATAACTCCCATTTTACAGTTGAATACAACAGAGTGACCGTCAAGCTGGCTGATGAGAAAAGCAAAGAAAGTGAAAACGACTCTGAACTGTCCTCCTCTGATGATGATGACGATGATGAATGCACTAAATACATCAATGCTTCCTTTATAGATGTATGTACTGGTGCAAGAAATGCATGTTTTACAGACCAAAAGAGGCAGTGTGCAAAAAGCATTCCCTTGCCCTTCAGGACTAAAGTCATTTTTATTACCCCAAGTGCCACCCCGGTTAAGAACAACTGACTGCACAGACCAGTAGATGAGTTTGGTATTTTCCAACTGTGTGTGGCTCCATTCCACTGCTTCCCATTTCAGGCAGTCAAATCTCAGAGATCTCACCTTTCCTTTTTTCCCCCATGAACAAACGGCATTCCATGAACAAACCACAAATTCTTTTGTTGACCTGTACTCAGGAATGGAGCATCTTCCAATGGGATGGGCTGCAATCCCAGCCTTAATTTTACTGCATTAAAAAGTGGGACTTTGCTGGGACAGAACGGAAATGTCAAGGCCATTTGCACTTTCTCTTTGCAAGACAGCCCAAAGATTTTTATTTAATGTGTATTGGTATCTGAAACAAAAGGAGCTGATTGAAATGTAGAATAAATGGACTAATTCATAACATGTTTTCAGTGTACTTGGTATTTGAATGAACATAGAAATAACATCTACAGGATTACAGAATTACCTCCTCTCTTTCTCCCCTTCAACCATATATTTTACCTTTTAGGGATATTGGTATACAGAAGCATTGATTGCCACTCAGACTCCACTGCAGGAAACCATTGCTGATTTTTGGCAAATGGTATTTCAGAGAAAGACTGCCTTCATTGTCATGTTGTCTAAATTAAAAGAGGATACTGAGGTAAGTGTCAAAGATGAACTCTGCATTTTTTATTAACAGTTACAAGTCTCAGGAGTACAGTCCATTCTAAACCAAAGGTGCTAACATTTCACTGGTGAGCAAGAGATGATGTTATGAGTAAAAAGGAGCACTTGTAAATCTGAATTGTCCCAGTGCAATATTTGTTTCTCCCATTGATATCAAATCTATGCAAAATACATGGCATTGTGTTTCATTACTTTTGTCGTAAGTTCATATTTTTAATCATTTAGGACTTTACAGAGTACTGGGGAGAGGAGGACAAAACCTACGACGATATAGAAGTTAAGCTGACTGAATGCAATAATGGTCCAGAATTTATCGTTCGTACCTTTGAAATAAAACACGGAAAGGTAAAGCTCACAGTCTTATACGTACGACTAGTATAACTTCCTGTTTTTGAAATAATCTGCACAATTAATCCAATTTGAATACTGCAACCTATAAACCTATTTGTGGTCCTATGAACAAACAAGATATGGCCCCACATTGGGACTTTTTGCTTATATAGCACTAGACTGACATTCCAGTCAATACTGGTGGAGCACTGCATTGTCGGAGGTCCCATATATCAGATGAAAGATTAAAGCAAAGTCCCGTCTGCCAGTTCAGGTGGAAGTTAAAGATCCCATGACACTATCCTGGCCAAAAATCTCCAGTTAACATTGATCATTCATTTCATGGCTGTTTGCGGGACATTGCTGTGTGTAAATTGATCTTTACATTCACCTCCAAAGTATACAGTAACTTCATTTTGCAGTAAATCCTGAGAAGCACTTTGAGATGTTTTGACGATGTGATAAGGTGCTATCTCAAAAGCAAGGGTTATTATAGTTATAATATCTTATTGAATTTCCATCAGTCTATTTGATTGAATTGATAAAACTACTTTCAGCTGTATAAGAAGGTTCAAATAAATGAAATAAATATAATCTCTTTCAAAACCAATTGCCAAGAACTGAGTGAAGTCCTTACAGGGGAATATTTACCACCTTTTACTGTTGCAAAGTATCGGACTAGCATGAGAGATGGCATTGAATATAAGGTGTAAATTGCAACAAAGATTGGGCCTTGAAAAATCTGTTGAATATTGTCTGTTTAGCCTAATTATCAGTTTGCCAATGAAAGCTTCCTGAGAAAGAAGCAGTTTTGGAAATGTATTAGGTGTCATTGGAGGAAGGTGTTATATAGGCAATAATGAGGAGTCAACGGCATTTGGAGATTCACAGGTCAGGGAATGCCTGAAAAAATTAATTCACACAGCTGAGAATTTACACTTCAACTAGGTCAGAATATCATTAAGGTTCCATTTTAAGAGCTATTAAAACCCGGAACTTAAAGGAGGGAGAATAGAAAATAGGAACATGTTGATAGTGTATATAATGCTCTGAAATACAAAAGTGGCTGGCATTTTGCAGTAATGAATAGATTAGCAAAGAAAAACATGTAGAACTCCTTTGATTTGCTTAGGAGTCTTTTAACTCATGCTTAGAACTCATGAATATTACCTGGAGGAATACATTGAGAACATATTGCCCAGGTTGTCAAGAGCCAAGGTATTAGAGACCTCAAAGTGTTTAACCAGCTAAAACAAGGCATTGGTAAACTTCCTGCTCTGGACCGTTCTACTCTTTGGAGTGCTCTGTGCCATGCTCCCACTCCCTCCCTAAATTGGTGAATGATCAGTGCCCAGGTAACCCATCCTGCGTGAGTATATATAGTGCTGTGAACCTTCGAAGCTCAATTATAATAATAATAATCCTTGCATCTGTACAGTGCCTTTCACGTCAGAAAGACATCTCAGGATTTATTGTGAAGTGAGCCAGGCTAACTGGCTTATCGAAGTCCTAGTTCCACCATAGAGAGTATGTGGGAAGATAGAATGACAAACATTGCATACAATTTTCCAGATGTAGTGCAACAGGATTAGAAGCATTTATTTTGCTTTATTGCATCCTTGTAATAGATTAGCTTTGCCGACAGCAGCCTAACATTTCTGGAAGCAGTCAGTTAACGGGGAGCTGTTAATAGTGTGCTGTTTATTTTCCCAAGCATGAATACAATTACAATACAATGTATATAAGTGGCCTTTCACATCTGGGGGTGTCTCAAAGCACTTTGTACAACTGGTGGTGTGGGTGGGGGGTGAGGGGAGGTGGAGCGAGGGAACTGAAGAGGGTATGGGGAAGAGTGAGGGAGTGGGACTGATTGGGTAGCTCTTCCAAAGAGCCGGCACAGGCACGATGGGCCAAATGGTCTCCTTCTGTGCTGTAATATTCTATGTTTCTCAGAGGGAAAAGTTGAGAGGTTGAAGAGATCAATCTGGTTTTAAAAGTGGGGAAGTAGGGTCCAAGCTAGAGGGATTCCAGGATGGAGTGGGGGTCAAATGGCTAAAAGCTTGCTCGTTAATGATGTGAGCAGATCGGGCGGCCAACAGATGGACGTAAAGCCGGCTGGTGTTTGCTTGAGCGGAGGAGGAATGTCTGGCTCCTTATTGTCTCCTGTGATAAACAACGTCTCGTGGTCCGAGATTAGCTGCTGAGGCGCTATTTATTTCTTTCAGAGAAAAGATGCTCATAAAGTTTATCAGTACCATTATCACAAGTGGACTGACTCAGACCTTCCCGAGAATCCCAGCAGTTTCATCGAGGTGATAAGGACCTTGAAGGAAAAGCTGCCGAAGCCCAATGGGCCCAACAGAGCCATTGCACCACCTATTGTTGTGCACTGCAGGTAACCCATTCCTCTGCGAGTTACGTGCTGTACTGATTCTCATTGTATTCCTAGTACTGCTGCATGCTCTTATTGAGCATCAGATTTTCATAAGACAATGAGCATCAATATAAGGTTGCTGTTCTTTTTTTGGGTGGGGGCGTTAGGTAACATTTTGCTTAACATGGGTAGATGCTAATTCTGGGAAAAGTACCATTCTCCCAATTTAGGCACTCAATGTTAGCTTCACTAATTCCCAAATAAATGAATCAAATTCAACCTTATCATTCCATTTCCCTACCCTCAGCCTCAGAAAAACACACTGGGCCTTGTGATTTCTCCTACCCTCTCCCTCACCTACATTTGCCATCTCTCTGAATGGGATTGTAAACGTTCGCTCACTCGGCATTGAGTTCCGACAGGACAAGGCTGTTTCACGCAGGATCTTGGGATCCAGTAGAGGGAAGAAGTGTTCAGCGTAAATATGTGATGACTTCATGCACATCATGATACTGTGGTGTGTGCTGTGTGTTAACATCATTGTGTGTTCCATTGCCAGAACCCCCAGGGAACCGATGATGTCAATCACATAATAGCAGATGACACCATGAGTACACACACTGCCGACAGCTCCTGTTGTGTGACGTGTAATGTGAGCAGGCAATATGCCCGCCATCCTGTTTTACTTGGAACAGTGTCAAGGTTGCCCTCAGCTGTAATCTGAACCCAGGTCAAATTTATGGCCTGACTATTTCTACCTCCTGCTGGTTCAAATCAACTGTTAGACCCCATTTTTCATTTTAATATTTGAAAGACATCCACTGATCCCACACTGCAGATGTAATATATGTATCTATTGTAAAATATCATCCTTATGTTCTGAATGGTGGGAAGAATGCTATCATACAGCCATAGATTATGACCTGTAACCACATTGTACAAGAATGTATAGTAATCGGAACATGTGGTCTAATGCAAAGGTGCGTTTTACGATTGTTGTACAGTAAAATTCTCATTTCTTACAGTGATGGAGCCAAGCTAACGGGAATATTCTGTGCTCTGTGGAATCTCCTGGACAGTGCAGATACTGAAAATATAATAGATGTTTTCTACATGGTCAAATTACTGCGTAAACAGCGGTCAGGAATGATCCTTACCTTCGTAAGTAGCATAGTCCGCATATTCGTCTTGGCTTGTTAGATACCAGTGCACCTAGTCCCCGTTGTACTACAACCAAACACATTATATTTAGATGTATCCATGCAGAGAGACTCTCAAAGCTGCTAAATATAAAATTTTAAATAAAAAGAATTACTTTACTCAAATCAATTTATTTGCCAAATTGCTTTCTAATTCCCTAATGAATTTACTGACACAATCTGGCTAATTTATTCAACATAGATGTCCACTCTCTGTGTCAAGTAATCTGAAGTGTCAAGATATCTTCTCTCTCCTGATCTTGAGTCTCTAAATCTCCTTGTTCCAAATGTATCATTTGGATTTAGTTCATCTATATCATTTACGATCTTAAATATGATCAATAAGATTGTTCTTCTTCAGAAAACACTCCTTGTCATTGAAGTTAAGGGGGAATTTAAAGCAGGTAAAAAAAAATAGAAATTGAAAGAGAAAAATATCAACTAACTTTTGTTTGATTCTGTGTGTGTATGTGTCTTTGTTTGTTTGTTTGTTTGTTTAACAGGAACAATTTGAGTTCCTGTATGATACCATTGCTAGCACTTACCCAGTGCAGAATGGGACATTAAAATCCAGTGAAAGCCCCCTGCAAACCACTGTAGAAATAATCTCCGAAACACCTCAGGAAGAGTCTAAACAAGTTTCAGATGGGAAAAGCGAAGAGGTGTCTGAGGTGCCTGCAGAGGAACAAAAGCCAGAGGCTGACACACTAATGATAAGCAATCAGCAAAAAATCCTGTTAATGGACCCTTAACTCCCACTGAAACCGAGTGATGACAATTTGAGCTCTATAAATGTAACTACTAATGTTCAATCTGTATTTCAAAGAGATTTATGCAGTGTCGATTTCAATTGTCAGATGTTAAATTTCTTTTTTACATGTACAAAATCTATGGTAGTACAATTCTATGTTTTTTTACTGGAAGTTTTACAAAATGTGGACTTGTATACATACCGTTTAAGAAAGAGTGTATACGTGAACATAAGTATGAATGTATTTTAATGGAAAAAGGATGGCGTTTTAGATAATTTAAAATTCAATTGAGAGGCTTTTAGTAGTTGGAGGTGAGTTCAGTATTTTCAAAATTAAAAACAAGAAAAAAAATTTTTTGAGACTTTTTAAAACTTTTTTGTTCCTAAAGCTAAATATTTGCTTCTGAAATGTATGTGTATGTGTATTGGTATTTTAAAATGTGATTTTTTTATCAAATGCACAGGGAGTTGGATTAATTTGAAGGACATTACTATGTTTGTCAGATCTGTTTAGTTTGTTCTTTCAGTGTTACTGAAAACATACTTTTTTTATGATGCTGCAATTTTATACTGTATTTTGCAATTTATTTTTATAATTCTGTCCCTAAAAGTTACACAGTTGATCTGTTTAAAATATTGTACAGTGATATATTTTAACTACCTGAAATTATTTCCCACCAGCACAGGTGAGTAGACCAAATTGATTTCTGGTTTAGCAGGCAATTGATTGAAAATGTCAGTCAGTGGATTGTCTTTTGTAAATAAAGTAGCATAGGTCTCACAAATAGAAACCAAAAGTGGCCCTTTATGCTGGCTGTAAAATGAAAGATGGTTTCACGATTAAGTCAGGCTACTTAGAGAACGACTGAAAATGAAGTACGCACGTGGTAGCACAAGAAAAGAGTGTTCGGGATCAGTCGGATAGAGACGGAAATTCCAATGGCAAAAGCATACACAGTGGGATACATTGACTCGGATAGATTGGGATCTGGAGAGATTCAATCCGGTTCGTGGCAGGATCATTGTGCTTGATTCTGGGATTGGTTGAACTGGTGTAAAAGGTTGGTCTGACACTTTACAAACTTTGTCATTACTCTTCTAGCTGATTGTATGAGGATAGAAAGGCAAGTTGTCAAATTGTGATGAAAATCCCCTCACCAAGTCATTGCTGGAACACCAATTGTAAGGTTTAAGAAAGATCCCTCTTCTCCAAGCATCAGTAGATTGTTCGCAGCGAATGGGAAATTTGGAATAACTTGGTTACAGCTCCAGAGTTCAGTAAACTCTTCACCTCCCCCTTGCCGTGGGCAGCAGATGGCTATTTATGGTTATTTGAATAAGGATTTGTCCCTTTAATATTGTTTGGGCTATAGATGTTGGTCAATCTGTTGTACCGTGGAGTCCAGTAGCTCAGTGGTTAGAGCATTCGTCTCGCAAGTGAGATACCTGGGTTCGATTCCTGGCAAGGTGAAATTTTGGGCAAGTTTCCTTACCCCACACACCTTATAATAATCCCCAAGGAAAAAAACAATAACAAATTGGTCACTTCAATCCACAACTGTTTCTGGGACACTGCTTTGCACAATTGGCTGCCGCGTTTCGCCCACAAACATAGTCAATTCACTTAACAGTATATTCTGTGAAATGCTTTGAGACGTCTAGCAAACGTGAAAAGCACTAATCAAATGCAAGGATTATTATTTTTACAAGTATTTTAATTCAGTATTTTGTTTATCACTCAATGTAAACTATTTCTGAGATCAGCTTAAATGTGAGTGAATGAATGAACAAAAACACAGATGTGTTTTCCAGTCTCTGAAGAAGTTGTGTACTTGCAGTAATATTCTCTTCATAGGACAGAACATTGATCACAATTTTTTTTATGTTCCTGTCAAAAGCTAGGAAGAAATGTACCTGGCTTTACAGTATAGAGTGGTAGGAACCAGAAATCTGTTTGGTCTGTGAGGTTGGGTTTGCACCCAGCAAGTTAATGTAAGATGATTTGCTATTTCAAATGTGAATTTCAATTCCAAAGCTTATTTTTTTGTTGTGCCCTTTTTTTAACAAGATATTGTGTGTAAAAAAAATTTGAGAATAAAAAATAGAATATATACATTTTTGTATGAATGGTGCTTTTGAATAAATGCAAAAATACTCGAGTCTGTGCAGACTCAATGGGCCGAACGGCCATCTTCTACACTGGAGATTTCTATTTTTAAAATAAAGATCATGTATAGTAAAGGTTTAATTAGTATCCGCTCCAGGGTAAGTCAATAGAGCAAGTAAAATACTAATCAGGAAAAGTCCAATCCTAACTAGGCACGAGATTGCTCCTGTCATGAACATTGGTCTATCCAAGTGAACCATCTGCAAACCAGGTTATGGGATGTTGTAGGTTCTGCACAATACAATTTTAATTTAGATAGTGCCTTTCACGTCAGGAGAATGTCTTAAAGTACTTTACATGACTGGCTGGCAGCTGTGGGTGTTGGGGAGGGAACCAAAGAGGGTATGGGAGAAAGATAACCAGAATCGAAAAGGTATGTTTTAAGAAAGGCTAATCTTCTAGAATGGCTTGCGTGCCACTTTGTTGTTGTATACTGGGTGGAAAATACTGTATATGTTCACACAGCAACAATTTTCTTTTTTCTACAGCACTTTCCACGTAGGTATGAATGAAGCTTTCTGAAGTTGTGGGCGACAGAGCTAGAATACAGAGTTAGAATAACTTTTCAGTCTGTTGTTAATTCAGCACCAATTGTACCTGATTAATGAAGCTTTTCATTTAATGGTAACTGGGTAGATATTTTTATAGTGTCCAGTTAAATCCAAATATATAATAGTGTCTTAAATCAAGATTCAGCGCAGGATATTATCACCTGTTGCACGTGACTGAACATAAATCCTTTTAAGGTTTATCTCTTTCTATTGCTAGCTAGCTTTAGTTACAACAGTCTGTGGAGGATTTCAATTGGTAAGACTGAAAAGTTATAATTTGTTAAAAACAACACAACAAACAAGGTTCAATGACACAAGCAGACAAATCTGCTGAAGAGATTTTAAACGTCTACACCTGTGTTCATCAAAAGAAGTGTTAAATGAACAGATAACTGATTTGCTAATCATGGAATACTATCAAATCCCTATCATTTATACAATTTGTGATTCAATGTGCTCATCACATTATCTTTATATTGCAAGATAGAAATCAGCTTCTGTTTCTTTGTCTTATTTATTACTAATGGGTTGGTAAAACCTTGCTACCTTGGCACATATTGATTCCAGTTAACATCTCTATTAAAGGCATATGTTTCCAGTTAGGAAACGCCCAACTTCTCTCAATGAAAATCAGATCCTAAGGCACTTTGAGAGGGAACTATTTTGTTTTTCTTTCTATGTTCTCTCAGGGCTGCAGCAATCACACAATATTGAATCTGTGAAGAAGAGTCATGAATTAATGAAAACCAATTCAGGTTAGTTTGATGATTTCTCACAGGCAATGTTCTACATATTGAATGTATTTATTCTGTTCTGGACTAGATGAGTTAAGGTGTACTCTGAGAAGAGAGCTGGGAGTGAAAAGTGGAGTTGTGAGTAGGATGGTCAATCCAGAGTTTTTGTTTGTTTGCCTGTGGAGATCAGATAATATCTGTGGTATGACTTTTACCTTCCAACTCATGGAGCGGTTGGGTGGGTGAATGATTTTTGTGCATTCTGTGGAAGGAGCTGGTTTGCTGGACTGATTGGCCTTTCTTCATTTTATACTTTATGTTCTCTCAAATTTCCTCACAGTTTGCCACACAATTCCACAACTTGCTGTGTTCTCATTGTCCTTTTATTTAAGCAAAAGGTAGATATCCATCAGAAATGTTAACCAGATGAAGATGTGTATTTATTATAGCCAATGTGTAATACAAAACCATATAGTTGTTTAGAGGAACTTTTACAATAACTTTCATTTTAGGTAAGCTCATAGCTCCTTTGTCTGCATCTAACTGGGTCCACAATATGGTAATCAGAAATCTTTTAATTCTAGGCACACACTACCTGAGATTCTGAAAATCGACAATAAATGGATGTGCTTATTTCTGTAAGACTCGGCTGTTTACTTCAGCAGTGTACTTGCAGTTTATCAAGGATTCAGTGTGTTTATAATGGCAAGGCCTGGACTAACAAATCTTATGAGATGACCCAAGGGAGAACCCAGTAATTTACAGCAATGGCCTAACTGATCTCTTGATCTGTTTATACAAATCAATGAACAAATCCCCGCAATGCTGCACATACTATTCCCCAGGAACACAGAAAATGAGCCCACTGGGCAGAAGCAGACAAAGGTAATTTCATGTCACTGTTAGCAGTGGTTGACAAAGTGCCGATCATTACCTGGAAATGCAAAGGATATGGAGCGAGCTTGCTCCCCTATGTCCTATTGTATTTTATCATTCTCTATTTGGAAGAAGATCCAGGATAGTAAATAATGTAAATCAAAACTATTCATTTTATTTAAAGCAACAAATGCCCTGTTTTCCTCCATCAATCTCCTTTTCATTGAAGAGTCTTAGATCAGAGCCTTGGGACGTCCTCCCAACGTGAAAGGCACTATACAAATGTAATTTTGTTGTTAGGTATGACTGTTATTGTAGGTATGCAATGTGTTTCAAGAGAATATTTTTTATCTTATGTTTGAGTTTTGATGAGTCTAGAGTTATCATACAGTACAATTCTATAGTATCTTTATAAATGTATTATGAGTGTATTGGGGCATGTGCCTGTTTTAATATCAAAGTGAACAGGGCAGTCCTTCCTTTTAGTTCTGGTATAAATTAGAAAGCCAAAAAGTCACTGCATTTTATCTATTTGATAACTGAAAATGGTCCATTCAAAATTCACAAGGCTGTGCTATGGTGAAATTACAATCCTCCTGAGACCACTGCATCTAGATAGTGTCTGGAGCAGGACTCCAGCAGGATTCTTGTTCTCTGAGACCCTACATACTCTACGTTTTGGCCAAAATTAGTGAATCAATGCCAAAAGTGCAATGTGTGTATATATAAGCATGTGTGTTTGTACACAATTGACCATCAACTATACATATAGGATTCTCCAGTCTCCCCTCTGGTGCAAGGTTTTACTTTAAGCTTATGCAATGTTGTAAGTGATTAAAACCTTTCAGTTTTTTTTAATGATTTCTTGCAGTCGGTGACCTTCACAAGCAGTCAGAGTCGACCGCTATGAGAATCCAGGAGTCCAGCAGGATGTTGGGAATCATTTTAGAAATTAGAGAACATGTAATCAAGCTTCACAATCTGAACATTTAACTGTAAAAGGGAACTGACA